GCCTTTTGGCGAATTGTTAAATTTCCCTTCCGGAAACCCGCATTTCAAAAAGCCTTTTTTTGGATTCCCTTTCTCGCCGAATAGTTGTCGGATCTTAGCCGTTCGGCTCATTGTTAACTTGATTCTGTTCATTTGATCTTGCAAACAAAATCTCTCTCGGGTGAATAAATCAGATTGTGATTTGACCCTTTAATTTTGCAGCATATTTTATTTATTTACCAAGGCAGACCTTCCTTCTAAGTTATCGAAAAGAAATCGGGTCCCTTCCGGACAATTAAAAATCACGGGCGTTAAGTGCCCTTACCTCGCCCCTCTCCGCGGCCATTTCGGTGGCCAACCCAGCTGAGCTAGCTGGCCCTTCGCTCTGGCCGCGAGGCCCTTAGGAGTAGCCACACCTTTGGGGAAAGTCTTCTCCGAGGGCGGGCCTCGGAGAAGCCGGAGATAAAACCTTCGCCCTCGCCTTCCGGCTCCGCTCTCGCGGGGAGAGCCTGAGCCCTAGGGAAGGGCGGCCGGAGGTCCCCCGAACTTTGGTGTCCTAGGATGCCTGGCGCCCAACAGGAATCGGATTTGCGTGTGTGTGCTCAGGAGTGGGTGCGAGCCAGGGCAGAGGATAGGGACATTGGGACGTAGGGCGCTTTTGTGACCCATAGGTATCCCTCTGAACGGGACCAGAATTGTCCGTTACAAGGTATATCAGTGAACTGTATCTGGAAGAAATTTTACATAGAAAAATAAATCATGTAATTTTATAATCGAATATTAAAGAAAAATAGTGTACAATTTACATGGCACATGACATATACTCATGAAACTTCTGAATTCCTTTCTAGTTTTTCGAATGCAAGGGCAAACTTTTAAGGAACACGAATGATTACCTATTTTTTGCATTTAACTGTAGATATTTGTTAATTGTAATTATTCAATGTTGATGAAATAATTATGCAAATTTGCAATCAGTAGTCAACTATTAAACAATTTAAATGTTAAGTAATTTCATTGTTTGATAATTATATAAACATTGTTTAAGGATTCTTCAATAATTAATTACTTTTATTGTATTTAATATTTAATGTTACTAAATTGTACATGTTGGAATTGCAGATCAAAACCCTCTTATATCGTCGACTAATATATGTATACAAAATATGTAATTAATTTATCAAAGTAGTTAATTAACATTGTTAACTTAATCATCAAACTAGGAGAGTATGAGATGTGGTTGTCTGATTTTCTCCGTATTCCCTTATTTTGTAATGCCCAATGAGCTAACTTATTTGTCAAAACAATAGGACCCACCTTTCATTTATTTTCAAAAAATAAATCGTTGAAATTGAGCATATACCTCATGAAGACATGGATTATCGAATCGCACAGAAAAGGTTGGTAACTTAGTGGGGATCAAACCATCGGTTTAGCATTCCAAGGCCTAGCGCCTTGTCCACTAAGTTTGTTTGTTTTGAACTTGTTTATTCTTAGAGCCATTTTAAACAAGTTCAAAACAAACAAACTTAGTGAACAAGACGCTAGGCCTTGTGTTGTAATTCCACGTTCTTTATTGTCACAATAACACAGAGTACACAGGTTGGTTTGTGGAAGCAAAAGTAAAGATACGAAAAGAGGTGAGACGCCGATGCGCGGTTCACGCGCCAGAACGACCGAGCGTTAGTGTCGTCGCGCGCGCCATCTGCTTCCCGTGCTGATGCGCGCGCCACCTGCTTCGCATGCCGAGGGCGCCACCAGCTTAGTGTCGTCCGTGAAGCGAATGATGGAGTCGGGTCCCTCAGACTCCAATACTCCCCCTCGATTCACGGAGGGCTCCTGAGCTTCGATTCTTGCCAAGCCATGGAGCTCGATGCACTTCAGGTGTCTTGGCCTAGACATCGGCTTGGTCAAGACATCCGCTGCCATTCTGTCGGTTGGCGTATACTCCACCTTCAATTCGCCGTTTACGATGACCTCTCGCACAAAATGATGACGTACGTCGATATGCTTACTTCGATTATGGAACACAGGGTTCTCGGCCAGTTTCCGAGCCCCGTTGTTGTCGCATAGAATGTCGACTCGGGCCATCTTGTCGAAACCAGCGTCACGGATAAAACGCTTCAGGTACACGGCTTCCTTCGATGCTTCGGATAGTGCCATGTACTCTGCTTCCGTGGACGATAATGCCACTGTCCTCTGCTTCTTGGCCTCCCACGAGATGGGACATCCACCTAGGATAAATGCGTACCCGGTGTAGGATCTTCTGACGATCGTGCAATTCCCCAGTCTGCGTCCACGAAACCTTCTAGGGTCCTTCCTGTCTTCCGGAACCTCAGTCCTAATCTCTGCGTTCCCTGAAGGTAGCACAGAACACGCTTTCCCGCGGCCCAGTGACCGGCATCGTAGCAGCAGTTGAACTGGGTAAGGTAACTGACCGTAAATGCAATGTCGGGTCGAGTGCACACGGCCAGGTACATGAGGGAGCCTACATGTTCGCGATAGGAGAGCTTTGCTTCGTCCGGTCCTTCCTCGCCATCCTTTCTTTCCAGCTTCGTACCGGGGTCCATTGGTGTCGATACAGGCTTAGCATCAGACATCCCGAAACGGTCGATGACATCTCTGATGTAGCCAGACTGACAGACTGAGATCTCATCCTTCTGTCTGGCAAATTCCATCCCAAGGCAATATTGTATCGTCCCTAGATCCTTTATTTCAAGTATACTCGATAAGTGCTGACCGAACTTCTTGATTTCGGAATTGTTCTGTGAAGCTATGACGATATCGTCGACGTATATGGCGATCAGGAGTAAGTTCTTGCCGTCTTCTTTCATGTACACGCACGGATCTGCGATCGACCTTCTTGCTCCAAAATTTACAATTCCCCGGTCGATTCGCTCGTACCAACAGCGACCTGCCTGCTTGAGCCCGTATAAGCCCTTTTTCAAAAAGCAAACTTTGTCGCCCCCGACTATTTCGCGGAGCATCCTGTTCGCCTTGGTCTTGAGGTCGCTGTCAACTGCGCTGATGCAATTCTCTCCAATACTTCCATCGTGTATTTTGGAATCTCCATGAAAACCTTCTCTTTCAGCTCACCATTTAAGTACACCGTCGCGATGTCGAATTGTCTCAGGTTCATGTCATTTTCTGCAGCTAGAGCTACGATTGTTCTGATAGAACTAACAAGGAAACATTCCCAAGTGTCCGCCTCCGATCTTATTGAGTTTCATATATCTTGAAGAACACAAAAATCTAAGAGACACGTGTTTTTTCATATCTGCAATGGTCCACATTTAAGGGGTGCAACAACCACCCAAAGTTTAGCGAAAAATTGGTTTTTCAAATATTGTTCGTAGGAGCAGTGGAGGGATTTCGACGAAACTTTGCATAAACGTATTCTGTATAAGGACGGTGACAACACAATATTGTTCAGCAATGTTGCACCCCCTCAAGGGGGTGAACTACCCTTCAGGTGACATTTTTTTGTAATATCCATTAAACAAGCACTCCTACTTAAGTTCCACTTACGCGATGTGATTGCTCGCAAAAAATTAAGAAATACGTGTTTTTTGCTTTTTGCCAATAAACATTTACACATCGGTTGTAAACAATGAATGTAGGTGGT